CCAAATATTTGGCTTTGCTGTTATTCATCTCAGCTTCCCCACTTTAAAACAGGGATAATAATAATTTCCCTTCCAGGATTGTTGTGAAAATTAAGAAGTTAATACCTATCAAGTGCTTAGAACAGTGCTTGGCATTTGGTAAGAGCTCGATAAATTTTTAGCAGTAAACATCATTGCTTTAATCCCTTCGTTGTGTAGAGAGATTTACTGCTTCACTTCCAAGAGCTCTTGTATCAGTTATTCACAAATACTTTGATATTTCTCATCTGCCAAACAGGGAAACTAAGTCTGAAGCGTCAGAGAACGCGGTGAACTGAATCCAGCAGGCAGTGCAGGGCAGGGCAGGGCAAAGTAGTGGCCCTGATCCCGCTGATTCTCACGCCTGCAGGAGCGGATCCCACCCTCTCGGGACCTCACTGCCTCATCCGCAGTAAGATTCAGTAAGGTTAAGCTGGGTTTCTAAACTTTTCCCCCGGCGTCGCTGCCAATTCCCCAAGACGCTTTCCTCTCTGGCTGAAACCCAGTTTACACCCGAAAGCGCTGGCGATCTGACAGGTAACTGGCCGCGGGAAGGCCCCAGAAGGAGGCCGAGGCCTCCGCCGCACTCAGGTCAGAGCCTCCACTCAGCCGCCGCTTTCCAGCTCCGACCCGCGCGGCGAGAGGGAACCTGAGCCCGCGGGCCCTCCGCGGAGCCGGCCCGGACGTCTCCCGGAATTTACAGCTTTCTCCCTCCGAGCCGGGCTCCCCCAGCAGCCCTCAGGGAGGCGCTTCTGCCCGGGTGGCCGCAGGACGCCCGCGGCTGGCGGGGGTCCACTTAGGCGCCCCCGGGCGAAGCGTGTGCCTGCGGGGCGCGGGGGCGGGGTTGCTGGCTCCCGCAGCCAGCTGTAACCCGCGCCCCGAACCCCCCTCCCAAACCCCCGCCCCTGCAAAAGAGGGCAGTAAAATTCCGGAAGAGCGATTAGAGGCAGGGGATGGGTGGGGCGGTGAATCAGTACATTCCTTCCTCCCCTCCCCCCTCCCCTCGGTTATCACTTCGGGAGGGGTGGGTCCTCTCGTGGCCTTCTCCTGACCGGTCTGCTGGCAAGGTCCAGACGAGCTAAGCATTGCTGGGCGGGAACCTCCTGAGCTCAACTGAACTTTATTGAGCCTGGATCACTTCTTTGGCAGCTCCGGGCCCTATTCGGTTTGGGGTTGGGGAATTGTGGTCGTTGCTTTCCAACTGAGTCCTTTCCATAAGAGTGGCTGGTGGGAGGTCTTGTCTGTGTTTGTTAGCAGTTCCCATTTATTGAGCCAGCCCCTACTCTGAAGCAGGGTCTGTGCCTGCAGTAGCTCTTATCTCCGAACTTTGCAATGTAGGCATCCCTTATCTCGTGTTAGAGGCAAGGGATCTGAAGGCTCAGAGAGGTTAGGTAACTTGCCCAAGGTCATACAGCGGCAGAGCCAGTAATAATCCCAGCTCTGCAGGTTCCATACGTTTCCCATCACACCCTCCAACTTCCTTTACTTAAGGACTTCCCTACCCCAAATAAGGTAACACTTACTAGGGGTGGGGAAGTAACATGTCTGTATGGACCATATCACACTGTGATAGATGCTTTAAAAATGACTAATTAGGGCCTCCCCTGGTGGCCCAGCGGTTGAGCGCTGGGTTGCGAGGCTGCCCACAGCCTCTGCAGCGCCAACTCGATCCCCAGCCACCAGCGAGGGTGTCACAAAAAAAAAAAAAAAAAGACTAATTATTTAATTTTCTATTCAGCAAACCCTTGAAACAGATGTGCTCACCATGCCCAAGTTACAGACAAGGAAACTTCAGTGGTCAGGAATTGAAGGGGCAGTGCTGGGATTCCTGTAGTCACTGAACAAAACTACAGTTAATGTCTGTATAGTGCTTGTATGTTTACAAAGCACTTTTAAGATGTTCATTTCAGAGATATCACCCTGTTTCACAGATGAGGACAGAGGTTCATTCATGAAGTTAAACCATCTGCCCACGGTGATAAAGGTAATACTGTAAGTAACAGAGCCTGCAATTTGAAACAAACTCGATATATTTGCGTAGTATCAAAGCTCATTCCATTTATTTATTCCACTGTGCCAAACACCATTCTAATGTCATAATAGCTAACAATTAGTGAACCCTTACTATGTGTTCAGTATAGTGCTACTTGAGTTATATACACTAATTTCTGTAATGCTCCAAACTACCTTATGAAGTAAGTATTGCTACCTATTACTTTTTACAGATGGGGAAATTGAGACTCAGTTGAAGTAATTTCCCAAAGCTACACAGCAACTAAATCCTATGAATGTTGAAGACACAATTTAGAATCCCTCAGCACCAGGTACCTGAGTTGTGTCTCTACCTTAGTCTACAACCACTTCTCCAAGGCATTTGATTTCTTTGCTGTCTATTGTTTCTCTAACCTGTGTGTGGCAGGCCTGCTCTCATGAAGCTAACACTCTATAAAACCAGTCAAGAATATCGCCAGCTCTGTCTTACAGGGTGCTGGAGGATTAATAAGCTAATGACACTTGGACTGCTTCAGCAAAGGCGCTGGATAAACTCAGGGTACTTATTATGCATGAAACTCACTGCCAGGGGTGGTTCATGCTGTAATAAGGCACATGCAGCCCAGTTTGAGCTCTGTTTGAGGTGTGCAGCCTTCCTCGGGAAACAATTTGGATGAGGTCATTTATGTCAGGGATTGGATCATTTCCCTTCCTGTTCTGGGGGTGTAGGTAGTTGGTGGTGGTGCCATGCTCTCAGGACTTTTGGTCTCAGAGCGGGTTTAGGGACACATTGACTGGAGCTGGAGACTAACATGCTTATTTGGGCTTCAGAGGCAGACACCCAGGCTGAATCTTGCTTCTGTCACTTCTCTCAGAGCCTCCAACTCCTTTTAAAATGAGGCAATAATACCTCCGTCACAGGGTTATTCTGAAACATAAACTTGATAATATATTTAAAAACACCTTGCCCAGGGCACAGAATAGATACTTAATACTTGGGAACCATTATTATCTTTATGTTGTTATATTATTTACTGGCATTTTAGGTCCAGGCTGAGAATTAGATCCAGGCAAGAGTCATCCATTTATTCAATCATCTTCTAGACTGCACCAACTAAGACAAGTAGGAATCATGAAAACAGCCATTACAATACAATGTGACAAGTGCTATGACAGGGAATTACATAAGGTGTTTTGAGACTTTAGGGAAAGAATCAACAACCAGGAGACTCAGCAAAAGTTTTGCAAACCGGGTAGTTCTGTTTCAAGTCTGTATTTCCAGGAAGTGGAAAATGCTGCCTGCTGGAGGCAGATAGAAAGCAAGCCACAGCTGAGCCTCACCCAAGGGCCTTGATTCTGATCTGCAGCCCCTCTTGCTTCAAGGCCTCTTGACTCCCACACATCTTTGCCAGTCAGCCTTGCCCTGGAATACTCTCTCCTGGATCACCTGCTGGTGGCCAACAGCCAGGGTTCAGTGCTTTGGCTTGATGCGGCTGAGTCATAAGACCTTTTATTTTCACTGCTAAGCTCTGATGGAAGCCTTAGTCAGGAGCAGTGCCCGGGGTCTGTCTTGTGGGGAAGGCCTAAAGATGACGACCAAACATTGCTTCTCCCCAGAGGAACATGTGTGTGAGTAGGGGGGCGGGGGCAGCCCAAGGGACAGGAGTTTCTTCTAGATAGGTACTAGTTCTGGTCAGGTGACATTTCCTAGGGTGGAGAGGGAGGACAGTCCCTCCCTCCCCTTCTGCCGCCCCTCTCCTGGGGAAGCCTCCCTTCTGCTTTCTCACTGCCCTCTGGCAACGGCTCAGCCCAGTCTCCTAGTTCATCGGTGACCACATTTTCCAAACCAAAACGCCTAAGCTGACAAAGAAAGAATTTCTGATCACCTTCCAAATGCGAGAGAATACTGGGACCTCCCCTTTTCCTGGGGGCCACCCTGTTACAGAATCGCTAGGATGATCCCTGTCGTTAAAGGGGACATTAAGTTGGAAATCTTCAAATTGAGGGTCTCCTATGTGGCATTTCTCATACCGTGTACCACGGATACGTGAACTCCCCATGAGGCAGCTGACAACTATTTCCACTTGTACAAGAGTCAATACTCAGAGAGAGGAAATAACTTACCCACTATGCTACATCCCGGAAGTTTGAATTTTAGTTCGGGGGGGGGGTGTCTCCCCCTCTCTGGGACTGGGAGGGAGCGTTGACGCAGAAGTGTCCTTCGCAAAGACGCGCCATTTGCCTGGGCCTCGAGGAAGGCCAGCCCAGACCCGAGCGGCCCGGCTCCCACCTCAGAGCTGGAAATCCCCGAGCCGAGGGCCCGGTCGCGCCCCGTCCCCCCGCACTTGGCCCAGGCCTCGCCGCCCGGGACGCGGAAACGAGCCCCGAGACCTCGCGGGTCACACCAAGGCCTCGGGCCCTCGTCCCAGCGCGGGGGTGGAGCCGCGGGGCCCGAGTGTGGGCGCAGGGCTCCCCCGCCTGTCCTCCCGCCCCCCCGCCCCGGTCACATGGACGCGCCTTCCGCAGCCCGGAGCGCGGAGCGGAGCGAACCACGAGGAGGCGCGGGGGGCGCCGAGGGCAGTGGGTCAGCGCCCCGCGGGGCAGGGGCGGGCCCGGCCGCCGCGCAGGCCGCCAGCCAGTCAGCGGGCGCGGGGGGCGGGCCGGCGGGCGCGCGCGCCGCGCCCCGCAGCGCCCCCTGAGGGGCGGCGGCGGGAGCGGGTTCCGGCTGCGCGCGCAGCAGCGGTGGCGGCGGCGCGGTCGGCCGGGTGTAACCGTCGTCGGTCCGGTAGCGGCTGGAGCGGCAGCGGCGGCCGGGCACGGCGCGAGGCGACGCCACCGGGCAGCGGCGGCAGCGGGGGCAGCGGCGGCAGCCGGGGACGCAGCGGCGGCCACAGCAGCAGCAGCAAGACGGACTCGTGGACACGCGCCGCCGCCGCCGCCGCCGCCGGGCCGGGCCGGGTGTCGCGCGCCGAGGCTGGGGGGGAGTCGTCGCCGCCGCCGCCGCCGCTCCCGCCGCCGCCGCCGCCGCCGAGGTGACTGAGGAGAGAGGCGCCTCCTCGCTCCCGCCGCCCGGACTTCAATGCCCAGTCCCCGGCTCGCCAGCGTGAGTGCGCGCGCCCGGGGGGCCCCCGCGCCGGCCCCGGGGCCTCGGGGAAGGGCGGGCGGGAGGCGCCGCAGCCATTAGTGCAGGCCCGAGACACGTCCCCGGAAGGAGGCCGGGCCGGCCGGGCGGGGAGCGCGGGGCCCGCGGCGGGTGCGGGGCCGGGCGCGTGCGGGCGGGCGCGGGGCGGTGTGGAAGAATGTGGCGTGCGGGGGGCGCGCGGGCCGTGGGGGCCTGGGAGGGGAGGGGGGCGTGGAGGGAGCGGGGCGCGCAGGGCCGCGGGGGGAGAGCGCAGGGCGGGACGGTGGGGGAGCGGGGCGAGGGTGGGGGACCCTGGGGGACAGTGTGGGTGGGGGTGAGCATGTGTGGGGGAGTGTCGGGGAGAGAGAGTGAGTGGGCAGCGTGTGGGGGAGCGTGTGGGGCGAGGGGAGTGTTAAGCGAATGGGGGGTCTGAGTGTGGGGTGAGGGGGCTGCCGAGGTGCGTGGACGGGGAGGGAGAGTGGAAGGGTGCAGGGTGTGCCCGCGCTCGTCGTGCGCGAGCAGGCGTCCTGGAGGGCGAGCCCCGCTCTCCTGGGGTCGGGAGTTCTCTCCGGGAGAACTCGGGGTCCCTGCAACCTCGGGGTTCAAGTGGGTGCACAGGATGCGAGCATGTGTTCCGGCGGCGCTATCATCTCTGGATTTTTGTTATGAAGTGCGCCCCTGTCCCCCCCCCCCCATTTTTTCCCCTGTAAACCGCACTCCCCCCCCCCACCTCCTTGTTTCAGGACATGGACATAAATTTCCCAGTTTGCCAAGAATGTGGTTGCACCCCATCCTAGGCTGGGCTTCGAGAGCTGGCGGACACAAACTTGTCTATTGTCCAGAACCCTCGATGATTCTCCCTTTAGGGTATTCCAAGCATAGCTGTTTCCTCAAGTACTGCTAGTTTTTCAAGGGAAAGTTGTTCCGTTGTTAGGTATCTTGAAGCAGTATTTTTTTAGGTTGTGGCTCTTTTCTGCCTACCTGGAGAACAGCTCTTAAGCAATAGGAAGAGCGGTAGTAACATACTGGTGACGGAGAATCCTAGGCTAGTTTATTATTTCCTGAAATTTGTCAAGAAACATACAGTGTCCAGCGAATCTGGCATCACTGGAGACATGGCAGCAAATGATTGTTTGGAGTCACGGAACTACAGCTACAGCTGGATTAGAATATGGTAGTTACCTGCTGCCTTGCTCTGTCTTACAGAATAGTTTCAGACAGGAAATGATTGAAGTTGTGCCCTATGCAGTGTGCACAAGGAAACGGACAACAGTGACACATTATTAAAGGCTTCAGAACCGTTGGCTCCACACCATTATGTTGGTGAAGCTGGTGAGAAGTTTGCCATACTCTGATCTTCACATTTTAAGTTGTTTCATATTGGATGGTGAAAGGACTTTTCTCAGGTTCTTGTACTGTAGAAGTAGGGGTTCTTGTTGATGAGTACCTTGCCACAGATTGTACTCCTAAGTCTCTTAGAAGTTGGGGGTTCTTATGATAAGCAAAGAGTAGGGTGCCTTTTGGAAGGCAGCTATCTTCACCTTGTACCACCAACACAGCACAACCCAAGGTGGTCTTTTTGATGGCAGACAGAAAGGCAAAGGCATTGGTGTGTAATTAGAAGTTAGAAATTATTTTTCTTTCAGTGTCCTTATTCACTGGCCTACTGTCTGCTTTCAGAAATAGTAAATGGTATTGTTCCTATCCAGACAGGATTATTTAGTTAAGTGTCTGTTGTGCACCAGGTGCTTTTTATCAGCTCACTTAATGCTCATAGTCACTGTAAAGGTGATGGGTATCTTCATTTGCATTCATTCAGCACACTGAGTGGTATGTATTTGCCAGGGACTCAGGGGTCTGGGGTCCGGTGGTGAGCCCTCAGTGACTTACAGCAATGAGATGAAGAGATGGAGACTCAAAGAGGTTAAGTCACAAGATAATATCTTATCCCAGGTCACAAGATAATAAAAATTGTAGTTAGGCTAAAAACCATGCTCTGACTCCAAAGTCCTTGATTTTTCCACTGCACCATTACTACTTTCAAAATAGGTTGTCTCACTGTGAGGTTTCTCATCCACCAGTGGTGACCTAGCAACTTTTATAGATGAGACTGAAGACTGAAGGACTAGAGGCAAGGGGATCATTTAGGAGATGCTGACTTGAGGCTGTTGGGGGCCTAAGCTAGGCTTTTATGTGGGTGGTGATTCTGCCTTGAAACTCTTGGGGCCCCAGGGTGTGTGCTTTGCGACAGTTTTTATGAGACACCTGGGATATGTCTGGGAGAGAAAAGTTTGATGAAAGAAACCCAACAGTCTTTCATGTTTTTTTATTTTGGGGGAAAGAGGAAGAATGTATTTTGAGGGACTGAGAGTCAACTGTGTGTTGTCACTTCTTTGTGAAAGTCTTTCTGTTCAGCTGTATGGGATATTTTACCTCAGATTATGAAGATCAAGTGAGTAAATATATATGAAAGTATTTAGTTCATTATAAATTGAACCACAGATTCAAAGTATTATAACCACTAGGACTTTTCTACTAAGGCAACCATCTAGTTGTTATATTTAGTAGCTGGAAAAGACTAGCATTTTAGAATACCTATACAAATGAAAGATTGTTTAGAACTGCTGAACTGGACATATTCTGATTCAGAATAGCAAAATCAAAACTCTCCTTCTGTGAGTCAATCAAGTAATATTTAATTTGAATGAACCAAACTTACAGGCAGAAACCATTTACAATTAGGGGGAAGAGTAAATTCAAATTGTTTGAATTAAAAAGTCTGAAAACTTATTTATATTTTACTTGAAAATTAGATTTTTAAAAAAAGATTTATTTATTTATGCATACAAGAACTGGGGTACAGACCAGAGGTGTGGGGGTGAGAGGATTCACCAGAGACAGAGTGGGGCAGGCAGATCGACTGAAATACACTGCTCAGGGGAGCAGCAGGCCAGACAGGAGAGGTCTGCTGTACCACGTGGATCACCTCCCTGGCCTGGGATCGAAATAGTTCCGCAGTGGCTGCTGATAGCTTCTTAATGCTGACTCTTAACCCCTTGCACCACCAGGGAGTACCGAGAAATAGTTTATTTTTAAGAAATAATTTTGTTTTTGAAAGGTAGGATTTCTGTATACACTAGTTACAGAACACTACGGTTTTGATACACAAAGTTAAAATTTAGTTAAGATTTATTTATAGTGGGGCCTCCCTGGAGGTGTAAGGGTTTAAGACGCAACCTATGAAACTGTCCGCAGCCACTGCAGCATGAGTTCGATCCCCGGCCAGGGAGCTACCTATATGGCACAGCAGACCTCTCCTGACTCGCCTGCTGCTCCCCTTGGCAGTGTATTTCAGTCATTCTGCCTGTTCTGTTCCCCACTCTTGTCTCTGGTGAATCCTCTCACTCACCACACCTCTGGCCTGTACCCCAGTTCTTGTATGCATAAATAAATAAATCTTAAAAAAATATTTATTTATAGGGCTTGACTGTGCTGTTAATTTTTTATTGGAATATGGAATTGATAACCAGGGAAGCCTCTAGAAAAAAAGCATTTATAAATAAGATGCAGAGGAGCAGCACATAAATTCTTACCTGTTGATCTTGAAAGTGTGAAGCCTAAGTAGTGTAGATTTCTTCAGATGCTATAGTATCACTCCTCCTTCTTACACACATTTAAGACTTTTGAGCAGCTAAGTATCAAGGATTCCTAGTTTTAACATGGTGTACTTAGTTATGTTTATGGAATTAGGATAGAGATCTTGAGGTCTTAGATAATTATGAAGTCCAACATTTTGCATTAGGTTTCAACATTCCCTTGAGAATCTTCTTGTGCTAAATCAGATCATCTCATTTAAAACCCATAATAATCCTGTGAGCAAGTGGCATTCTTTCAGTTTTATAGATAAGGATATTGATTTAGAGATCAATTTGCTGAATCCTAGGTTTTGGAATCCATGTTAAGAATATCAGTAAATAGACAGCAGTGGGAAAAAAAAAATATTTTCTCGTTGGGACTTAAAGCGCTTAAATCTCTGGCTAATTCACCACCCCCTCCTGTTATTTTACAGGGAACTATGGAGGAGTTAGGTAGATATTAAGGAAGTCAGCCTTTCTTTGCTTGAAATGTAAGGTTTTTTTTTATATTAAAAGATATACTTCAATTACTTTTTTCCCTCAATTGGGAGGGGTTGTACTTTGAGATTTTCTCAAGAAACAAGTTGGGTTATGTGTGTAGAAACTGATGCTTATTCTCTTAAGTTTCTAAAGCAGGAGTCCTTGCTGTTATTGTTATTGCTCAGATAATTTTATACCTTGGGTTCAATGAACAGTGCATGTCATCAGTTATTATTTTAGGGAATGGTGATTTGAATCTCTCAGTTGGGAGTATTAAAAGAGCCTTTTTTCCATTTTCAACTTCAGAATTAATATCTATATAGAGAATATCTGGTAGCTTTCTCTAGTTTTATTGACTGAACAGAATTCTCCAGCTCCTTTGTCTTCTTGACTACTCTGTTGGAACTTGAAGCCTAATGGGATTATTTGATGTAGACTCAAGTGGACATTGTATATAAATCTTTTGCTCCTTGGAGTTGTAGAGGTCTAGACTGAAACAGAAATTGTCACTACTCTAGCACTTTATAAAAGAAGCTGCACAGCTCTGTAATAGTCTGCCCACTTTCTACAGTTACTCTATGGAGTTTATATGACCCAGGTGAGAAAATGAGCTGTCTCCTCATGTTTTAAGGTGGTTTTCCCTGTACTGTCTTTTCAGATTTTTTTTTTTTTTAATAGAGGCATGTTTTTATTTATTTATTTGTTTGTTTGTTTGTTTTGTTTATACATGCACTGGGTACAGCAGAAGCGCGGGAGGGTGAAAGAATTCACCAGAGCCAGAGTAGGGAGCAGAGCAGGCAGAAGGACTGAAGTACACTGCTGAGGGGAGCAGCGGGCGGCAGGAGAGGTCTGCGCGCCATGTGGGACCCTCCTCCGGTGACCGGGGAGCAGCCGGGGATCGAACCAGCGCCACAGAGGCCACGGGCAGCTTCGCAACCCAGCGCTCTACCGCTGTGCCACCTGGGAGGCCCCCTGTACTGTCTTTTCAATCAGTACAGATTTACAAGGCACAAAATCTTAGCCAAAAAATGATTATGAGGAATTGACAGTATACCAACAGTTTTTATGTGACTTGAATACAGTGTTTTTCTGTTTGCACTGATTTCTTACTCCTAACTTTTGTAACACAGCATCCACTGTAGTTCAAGTGGACTAGAAACTAAGTTTTGTCAATTGAATGTACATTTACATTGTACAACATTAACTTTTTAAACTGTAGAGAATTTTAAGATTAAATGTTTCTGTCACCCTTGTTTTGCTTAGCTTGTTTTGAAAAAATATGTTGACCATTAAAATGGTCTTTACATTTAAAAAGGTGTATTTAATTTCTTTCATAAGTATTTTTGGGTTGAAATTTCATTCTTCTCAGAAAATGTTAGTTCTTTTGGCTTAAGATGCACACATGATATATTTGCTTTAGCAGATCAGATAAATTATATTTTTATTTCTGCAGTGGTCAAAAATGTTGGCTCTTAACTAATGTATTGTTTGACAAGAATTCAAATTCACAGTCAGATCTGCTTCTAGTTATCCTTTAATTTTAGTTGAGATTTGAGCATAACTTTATTTTTTTTGCAGTTTTATTGGAAAATTTACTAGGCTGTACCTACTAAATAGTATTTGTAAATTGAATGTGTGTATATGTATGTTGATACTTATTTTAGTAGCAAAAAAAAAATTGATGTTTTCTACTTTCAATTATTGGTGAAAAGCCTATCCTAAGAGAACAGAGTGCCTGGTTAGTGCAGAAGGATATGAGTCATCAGTAGGATTTGTCAGCAAATTGAGAAGGATATAATGGAGAAACAATAGATTCTGGTGACATTATTCTTCATTCCACACATGTGGTTGCAAACAAGTTTCCTTCTGGTGATTGGCATAAATGATCCACATCAGATCTTTCTGGGTGAAAAATTCTTCAAATTTAAGTTGTACACTATAGTCAGTTTTTCTAGTGAGGTGAACTCTTCATTTGGAAGTCTTTAACAAGTAGACTTTAAACTCAAATCATCTGTTTACTAAGAAAAATAATTCAGTTACCAAGTAGGAATTAGTTTAGAGTATATTTTCGTGAAGCTTATTGATAATTGTGGAGCTTTTGAATAGATCAGAAGATGCCCACAAATATGGCAATATTTGTTTTCTGTCAGTGATCAGAGTTGCTCCTTAACTGTTCTACTTTTAAATTCCCAAGAGCTTTTATTGCATTTGAATTGG